GAGTCTCTGCTTCTTCTTCGGCCTATGGTCGTCCTACAGAGTCTCTGCTTCTTCTTCGGCCTATGGTCGTCCTCCAGAGTCTCTGCTTAGTCTTCGGTCTCATGTTCATCTTCCAGAGTCTGTGCTTTGTCTTCGGCCTCATGGTCGTCCTACAGAGTCTCTGCTTAGTCTTCGGCCTCATGGTCGTCCTCCAGAGTCTCTGCTTAGTCTTCGGTCTCATGTTCATCTTCCAGAGTCTCTGCTTTGTCTTCGGCCTCATGGTCGTCCTCCAGAGTCTCTGCTTTGTCTTCGGCCTCATGGTCGTCCTACAGAGTCTCTGCTTCTTCTTCGGCCTATGGTCGTCCTATAGAGTCTCTGCTTAGTCTTCGGCCTCATGTTCATCTTCCAGAGTCTCTGCTTTGTCTTCGGCCTCATGGTCGTCCTACAGAGTCTCTGCTTAGTCTTCGGCCTATGGTCGTCCTATAGAGTCTCTGCTTAGTCTTCGGCCTCATGTTCATCCTCCAGAGTCTCTGCTTTGTCTTCGGCCTCATGGTCGTCCTACAGAGTCGCTGCTTAGTCTTCGGCCTCATGTTCATCCTCCAGAGTCTCTGCTTAGTCTTCGGCCTCATGGTCGTCCTACAGAGTCTCTGCTTCGTCTTCGGCCTCATGGTCGTCCTACAGAGTCTCTGCTATTAATTCCAAAGGTTTTAAAGATAATTTTAGTACCTAAAAAACTTCTAAACATCAACCTAAATATTCTTATATAAAACAGAGGTATACATTAAATATGTTTAAACTAAATAAAAACTTTCTCATTAGTATCGTTATTAATCTTTTACAGTAAAACCATGAATATTCGGATCACTTTCAAACATGAGCTGTTATGGAACATTTTAGAGTTCTATATTTAGGTGTTTAAGTTTAGATAACACATCAGACAATGTTTGAATTTTAGTTTTCCCTCCAGTATCCAACAGAACCTCAACATAGAAGCAGAACCCAGACGTGTGTCCTTTAAGACCGACTGTTCAAAGAGTTTTGTTTTGGATTTTAAATCTGACCAACCTTCAGCTGAAAAGAGGTGAGCTCTGTTGAATTTTTTACACTGTATTGAACTGATCTGACTCCGTTTGAAATGTTTTTCTTCCACATTTTTATTCTTGTGAACAAGGCTGCTTGTTTTTGCTAGATATTTTCATCTAATTCAGTCTCCACTGAGTTCAAGACAAACTTTGTTGGAGGTATCGTGAAGATTCCCAGTTATCTAAGTCATGGTAAAACATGACAGGTTGAGTTGAGGCAACTGGACGTGAAGTTTTCTAGGAGACATTTCTCCTCTCATCTTACAGGCTTCCTCATTTCTAATTGATGGTGGGGAGCAGTGAGATTAATATACTGTAGGTGGAAGAAAGAATTAGGGGGAACAAAAGGTGGCTCTGATCCCTCCTACTGGATTGGCCATGGAGGTTATCTGGGGAGGGGTTAAAGGTCATTAGGGGGTTCTGATGGGTCGATAACTCTCTTGGCAAAGTGGTTTCAATCATGCCTCATTAAGGTGTGAGTCAGGTGAGGGCAGGTGAGAGGTGAATCTTCTGGATATGTTACTAAATGTATTTTGCAAGTAGGTGAAAGGTTGTGTCTAAGACCACCTCAAGAGACCATCGGTCAGCAGCAGGAACCTTGGAGGGCGCCGACTCAGAGTCTCAGATAAACCTTTCACCTAATTACTTTGCTCCATTCTCATGGCCTTCCTACAGAGTCTCTGCTTCGTCTTCGGCCTAATCGTCGTCCTACAGAGTCTCTGCTTCGTCTACGGCCTCATGGTCGTCCTCCAGAGTCTCTGCTTCGTCTACGGCCTGATGGTCGTCCTCCAGAGTCTCTGCTTAGTCTTCGGCCTCATGGTCGTCCTACAGAGTCTCTGCTTCGTCTTCGGCCTCATGGTCGTCCTCCAGAGTCTCTGCTTCGTCTTCGGCCTCATGGTCGTCCTCCAGAGTCTCTGCTTCGT